CTCCCCCCCCCCCCCCGCATCTTGTACTTCTCGCAATTCATCATAAGGGTTTTCACTACTCCCACTGACCTTAAAATCTTCAAGGAAATGAGCATCTTTGGTTTCTACAATGCGAGTGACGTGGGAAGGACAATAAAATCTGTAACCCTTTGAGTGAGAAGGATAACCAATGAAGTAGCAAGTTACAGTTTTCATGTCGAGTTTCTTCAAGAAGGGATTATAAAGTTTAGCTTCGGCAAGACAACCCCATACTTTCATATATCTTAAACTCGGTTTCCTTCCTGTCCATTGTTCATAAGGAGTTTTAGGGACAGCTTTAGAAGGAACCCTATTGAGTATATGAACGGCTGTTTTTAAGGCCTCAGTCTAGAGAAATAGAGGTAAACCTGAGTTGGCTAACATACTGCGTACCATGTCCATTAGGGTCTTATTTCTTCTTTCAGCAACACCGTTCTGCTGAGGAGTACCAGGCATAGTATATTGGTTCATGATCCCGTGGCCCTTACAAAACTCATAAAATGGACCAGGAGCTTGACCCACATCAGTATGTGTACCATAATATTCACCTCCTCTATATGATCTTACAACTTTTATCTGACGATCAAGTTGTTTTTCAACTTCAGTTTTATAATCTTTAAAAGTTGTAAGTGATTCAGATTTTTCCTTAATAAGATACAAGTACATATAACGAGAATAATCATCAATATAAGTGATAAATGAGTTATGTCCAGTTATGCCAGTGATAGAATAAGGACCACTAATGTCAGTGTGAATGAGCTCTAATAAATTAGGACTCCTAGTGGCACCTTTCTTATTCACTGATGTCATTTTACCTTTAAGGCATTTGACACATGTTCCAAAATCATTGAAATCGAGAGATGGTAACACTTCATCCTTCACGAGTCTAGACAAACGTTCTCGTGAAATGTGGCCTAAGCGTTGATGCCACAACATGGATGAAGTTTCTAAGTCTCGTTTTCGTTTTCTCTTTGTTATCGTCTGATTGATATTATATGACAACAAAGATTTGGAAAAATCATCATCTAGTTCTAATTTATAGAGACCACCATCCAGAAAACCATGACCAAACACTTGAGAATTGAAACTAATAGTAAGTCTGCCATGACCATGAGAAACATCAAAACCGTCTATGTCTAACTTTGGTCCTGATACTAAATTCCGAGTAATCTCGGGAATATATAAGGTATCATAAAGTTTAATACATAAACTAGTTTTCATTATTAATTCTAAGGTTCCCACGGCTTCGACACCTAGTTCTGTTCCATTCCCCAGTTTAAGTGTTCTTTGGTTTCTTTCCAGCTTCTAGATTGTAAGGAATCCCTGAAGTGAGTTGGTTACATGAACCATAGAACCAGAGTCAAACCACCATGTATTAGTTGGAACATTTAAATTAAAGGACTCAAGTATCATGTAAAGATGATTACCTTTCTTCGTCAGCCACTCCTTAAAGTCTTGGCAGTTTTGTCTGTGTAATTCCTTGCAGCAGAACTTGCAGTAAGACTTCCCTTTGGAGTTCTTAGAGCTGGAAGAAGCACTTGCATCACGTTTATGGACTTTAGAAACATCCTTCTTATCGACATTGCCCTTCCTCTTCTTTGTATTAGCGGTTATGAGGTAAGCCACATCAGGTTTGTCCAGCTTCAGACGCTCTTCTTCTTGTACGCACATAGCAATCAACTCATTCATCGACCACTTGACCTTCTGGGTGTTGTAGTTGACCTTGAAAGCTTCAAAAGATGAAGGAAGAGAAGTCATTATGAAGTGCACCAGAAAACATTCACTGATCTCCATGTCCAATCCCTTAAACTTACGGGCCATGTCGTTCATCATCATGATGTGCTCACGAATGCCGCTATTCCCGTCATATTTTGTAGTCACCATCTTCAAAATAAGAGTACTAGCATGTGCCTTAGAAGTTGCTTTGAATTGTTCCTCCACGGAAGCCAGATATGTTTTAGCATTAGATGAATCTGGAATAGCTCCCCTGATGATTATGCTGATGGAATTTTTAATGAGCATAAGAGCCATTCTGTTGCACCTCTCCCATCTCTCATGTACTATTTTATCTTCAGCAGTACTTTTATCAGTGNCTTACGGGCCATGTCGTTCATCATCATGATGTGCTCACGAATGCCGCTATTCCCGTCATATTTTGTAGTCACCATCTTCAAAATAAGAGTACTAGCATGTGCCTTAGAAGTTGCTTTGAATTGTTCCTCCACGGAAGCCAGATATGTTTTAGCATTAGATGAATCTGGAATAGCTCCCCTGATGATTATGCTGATGGAATTTTTAATGAGCATAAGAGCCATTCTGTTGCACCTCTCCCATCTCTCATGTACTATTTTATCTTCAGCAGTACTTTTATCAGTGGGAGCAGGAGGGGCAGGCTCTCTCAGTGCATAATCAAAATCCAACATGCCAAGAGTTAGCATCAATGAATCTTTCCATGAAAACAAATTCATACGTTCAAGGTTTCGATTCCCATATTTGGGGCTGATAGTGGATTCAGATGAGAGAAATAAGACACCTAACTAAAGAACTTAAGGGGTAATTAACTAAGGCTGGCGAAGATAAGGACCATTATATAGTAATGAAGTTGTGATAAGAGTCTATTATAACACCATAAAATAATAGACTAAATTTAATTCTACTTAAAAAAATGGCTTTCACTTTGGTTATGACCACTTATTTAAGTATTATGAATAATAAAATAATGATGTGCAATTTGAATGTAACACATCACCTTTGGGCAGAAGTGAAACATTTAAATTTAATGCACATATATATTTAGTTCGCAGTACACAATTATAACACAGCATCTTTGGACAGAAGTGAAAAATTATGTATTTAAGGCGAGTGTCATGCAAATATCTATTTAAGGATATGCACTAAATGACAACGCTTAATAAGACTTGAAATAAATTTTACAAATGTTACACATCACCTTTGGGCAGAAGTGTAATCTAAGGTATTATTCAAGTCAAGCAGAATAAATTAATTTAACTAATCATAAAATAAATTTCATTTAAATTAGTCAAATGATTTATAAATTTAATGTTAATAATGAATTAACCGCAAAAGTTAAAGCGGTTCGGGGCGGGGCTACGAAAAATTGGGGACCCATTAAAATTAATTTAATTGAAAATTCAAAAGGCATATAAGTCAAGAGATTTTCCAACAAGTAAAAAAAATTAACTTTTTAATGGTATTTTAGCATATCCCTTATTTAGTTTTGCTATTCTTGGTAAAATAAGTCAATAAAATAAGGAAACAGAATATATCATACAAAAGTGAGATATGCCATACCATTTAAGGAAACACAATTATATTCCAAATAAAAATAAGATGATTTCATCAAAATAAGGTTGGAAACCGAATCTGTTTTTTTTTCTTTGATCAAAACTAAAACAGTTTTTTTTTTCTTTTTGTGATTTCCGTGAAAAAAAGATGAGATAAAAAAATCATATAATGGAAATCTTGGAAACTGATTTTGACTTATCCAACTTGAGATTCTGTTTTGCAGCGAATTATTGTGGAGACACCAGTGATCCAAATCGGAAAAAAAACAAGAATTTCAAAAGGAATTTTCACACAGTCGCCTTCCGATTTGAATTACAGAATTGAAAACATGAGGCCATAAGAATTGATTACGTAAGAGATATGGCAACAAAACATTAAACCAAAATCTCAAAGATCAGAGGATTTCGTCAGGGATTGAAAACTAATTTCCGATCCAATTTTATCGGATCTTTGAAGGAAAAAAAATCCGGTAGTTTGGTTTCGGGAAACGATGAGAATTGATTAATCAACATAATGCTTTGATACCACATGTTGATAAATTCTTAAACATAAAATATGAATAAGGGATTTAATCATATGTACCTGATAATCCTGTAAACGTAGTTAGGGATGAGGCCATGATTCTCACGCAGATTGAGTTCCCGTTTAGGGTGTATTGTTATGATGGCTAAGGTGAGGATGACTCACGAGAATAGAGAGGCAGAGAGGAGGCGTAAGATTGGTGTGTTGATCTCTGCCTAATGACCTCTATTTATATACACCCAAGGGGAAACCCTAATTAGGTCATAAGGGTAATTACGTCCATCGAATAATTACCAAATAAATACGTAGGGTATTTATTAGGTCAATGATCAATTAATTAGATAAATGATAACTCAGGCCACATAATAAAAACGTGTCCAACATGGTTATGAATGGAAATTGGGAGATTTTTCCTATTGCTTACGCGGTGGTTGACGGGGAAACGTGTGAAAGTTGGGCATGGTATTTGAGGTTGCTCGTTCAAAGGGTTATTCGTTCTATGCAAGTATGTATCATTTCGGATAGGCATGTTGGAATTATCAACGTGTATAGAGATCTTCCTGAACTTCAAACAGGAAGAATAATGAAGCGCTTTTGCCTACGTCACATCCGTAGCAACTTCATGACAAAATTCCATAACTCGGATCTCAAACGTTTGGTGTGGTCCGCTGGGAGCACACCTAATATCCAAGAATTTCAAGGATATATGGGAGAAATACGGAATGTTAGTGAAGAGGCATATCTCTACTTGAATGATATTTCACGTGAAGCGTGGGCTCTATCTTATGATGGAGGTTTTAGATGTGGGATTCTGACAACCAATAGTTCAGAGAGTTTTAATAATATGCTTAAGGGTTGTCGGATGTTACCGGTCACTGCCATTTTGAGTATGTCTTATAGCAAAACGGTTGAATCTTGTTCAAAAATATATTTCTTTCATTATTTTTTTGTTTATGAAAAACTTCAATTTTTCTTCAGTTTTTTAGATTTTAAATGTTTATATTAATGGACTAAATTGACACACCTCCCAGGTAAAATTAGTAATTATTTGTATTATTTAAAATAATCAGGATTCTAAAACCCGAAAAAGAAAAACCAAAAAATAAAATAAAATATTGATGGGTATATCCTTATACCCGACCCGGATAACCGAAAGGGACAGGTCAAAATATGACCGGTCACTTTTACCAGTCACCAAATGATGTTAACTCTTCAATTGGGACGGGTCAAATATTGACCGGTCACTTCGACTAAAAAAGTCACTGGTCACATTTTGGGCGATAGCCAAAATGTCACCTAATGTTGCGAAGAACCCAGAAGACCAAAATGACCGGTCAACCTTTGAGAAAAGGTGACCGGTCATATCATCTCACTTTACAAAGATTGATCCAGTATCTCAGGCATGTTGAACCACGTCAAAGATGGAGGGACCACCCCGCCATTCGCCCATCACGAGACAAACAGTGAAAGAGATGTTTGTCACCTTGCAAGGCTGATTGGATTGAGAATATCCATGTTATAGTCCTTGATTGAACAGTGCTCCTTGGTTGTATTAGTAGCAAGTCTATGATTGAACAGTGATTAGATTATGTACAGTGGCCTTCCTCCTGGTTTCCTATTTTGTCCATGAGTGAACAGGGGAAGGTCACAAATCCTCCTCTATAAATATGATGATATTGCATAGAGGAGGGGGGAATTCTTTCTCTCACTAAAAACTACTACACTCTTGAGACAGAATAAGAAATATATTTCGGACTGAGGAGATTTACCCGGTCTAGGTCATACTTTGTGTTCTTGTTGTGTGTTTTATATTACGGGTCAAGTGTCCAGGTTAAACTCGGTTAACCCGCCCAGCTATATTTACACCATCATTTTTGGCGCCATCCGTGGGACCGATTTTTAAAGTTTTTTCGACCAGGTCAAAACTTTACCCCCACTAAATATCCACAATCATGTCTTCAAGAAATCACAACGCTGTGTCAAGCCAGGCTGTGAGTGAAAGCACTCCAGCCATCCCATTGATGATAACTAGCATGGGGACGACCTTTGCCCCGATTACCACGGTAGGATCAATTGGCATGATTCCCATCATGTCAACCCCTACTCCTAAACCGATGAGAACAATGTTCCTGGGCTCGATAACAACGCCTGGGGGAGCATTAACACCATACCCGTCAGCTTGGGCTCAATTTGCTACTGACCCGGCAAATGCTCAAGCTCTACAAGGTTATCAACAAGTGATGGCCATGATGCAACAGGCTGGGGGCTTTATGCCATGTGCCTACCCTGGGATGCCACCATTAATGACTCCCATGGAACCCCCGGTGTCGAATCCATCAACATACGTTCCAAGGATGGTCCTCGTGCGCCCGGTGAATTTGACAGGGATCATGAATGAGGCAGCGCCCTCAAATGTCAATGAGGTCGACGAGGCGGAGCAGGAGGCGGCTCGCAGGAGGAAGGGTAAGGCTATAGCCAAACCCAGCCAAACCCAGGATTTGGCGTTCAAACGCCTAGAGGACAAAGAGGATGAACCCCGTAGGTCTGCCAAGCTACGTCTTGGTCCTGAGATGGGCCGGACTAGCGCAATGGAAAGACTTGGCGGGAGTCGTCCCGTTCAATCTCGTCGTTCTAGGGAACTTGAGACGATTCACCTAGACGAAGAGGAAGCTGAAAGCCAGCCCAAGGCATCAGCGTATACCAGAGGGAGCGTGGCAAGAAAGCTACGTGCCCTGGAGGAAAAAGTGGAAGAGAAGGCGGGAACAAAGAAGTATACCCTGGCCAAATCTCCCTTTTCAGCCAGGGTACATGCGCAAAAACTGAGACGGAAGATCAAGCTAGACGTGGAGAAGTTCACTGGAAAGGAGGATCCGAATGTCCACCTTGATACCTTCCACAATGGAGCACAGATGGCCGAGTGCACTGACGCTGAGGAGTGTCTGCTCTTCTTCTCATCCTTGAGAGGGAGACCAGTGGAATGGTTTAACGGCCTTCCCCATGGCAGGATTGCGTCCTTTGAGAAACTTGCCGAGGTTTTCCGCAAGAAGTACCAGGACAACTACATAAAGAGAAAGAAGTTCACCTACCTACACACGGTAGGACAAAGGGAGAAGGAGTCCTTGACTCAATTTTGACGCACTAGAGGGATGAGGTCGATAAAGTAGAAGAGATGGACGATAAGATAGCCATGTCTTTGCTGATGAATGCCTTCCGGTCGGGTGACCTTTACACCGAATTTTGTAAAAGGCCACCCTCCTCTTATCAGGAAGCCTATAATACAGCATGGGAGTATGCCGAGGCGGAGGTCCTGAACAAGAGCAAGCAGGAGCTGGAGGAAGGCTATACAAAAGTGAAAGCCGAGAAGCCGAAGAAGGATGACCAGGCAGGAGGGTCTAAGCCAAGGGCCACATATGACGGGTCAGTCCACCAAATTAGGGATGGGAGGAAGGGAGAACAACCCAAGCGGCCTTGGACACAGAAGTGGTGTACCTACCACCAATCTGACTCCCATAACACGGCGGACTGCCAAAACGTCAGGGCTGTGCTCAAAGAGATGATCTTGAGAGGGGAATTGGATGAAGTACTCGTTACGGGGCTTGAGGAAGACCCATAGGCGAGTACTTGAATCCGCCCACGTGGATAGGATCAGGGAAATCAAAGAGGATGGACAAAATGTGGTCAAGATTACTAAACTTGCTTTAGACGGATAAGTCTCGATGTCTAGGACCTGGACCGTTGCATGGTCTGATAACAAAAAAAATAAAAATAAAAAAAACCCTTGAGATAGGGGCCTTGATGTTGAGGTATTGCCTTGAGATAGGCTGGATCTGGAAGAGGATTCGCATCCATGCTTACATGGATCCCTACCAAATTTTTGGTCGAGAAGGATTAGAAAAGATGCCAAAAAAAATTTACCGTCTTGTATGAGCCATCCTTTGTGGATCGGAATGTCTAGGGAAGACTAGAATTTCCGAACACATAATACATGGACGTGCAGGATTGGATGAGGGCTGGTTCTCACCGGCATACCCCCTGTGGGAAGATTAGGTTGGCTAGGTCAACCTAATAATTAGAGAATGGCACATTAAAAGACTTAAAACCTGGAAGAGGGGCCCTGGAAGAAGGGTGTTGCCTGGAAGAAGGCTGGACCTTGGACAGGGTTCGCGATCATAGGACATGGTCAAAATCTCCAAAGAAATGTCATGTCTTGATGTCGAGACTTAAGACGAAAACCGTTTCAGAACATTCGATCGAAGTTTGATCAAGGTCGGGGTTGAACACGACAGACAGGCCAGATGGAATACGAAAAGGGCATGGTCAAAAGTGACCGGTCACTTTTTTGCTTTCTGGATTGGCAAGATAAAGTGAATGGGAAAAATTAAAATTTGACCGGTCATAAATATGACCGGTCACTTTTTAGCCGGTTGGATTTGAAGAAATCAGATAAATCTGGAAAACCTTGATTTTGACCGGTCACATTTTTGACCCGGCACCTGGACAGAAAATTTGACGTCATGATTGGTTACGTAGTGCAACCAAGCCATTGGAATTTGATCAGAACAAATTCAACCTAGACGATTGTCACATTCCAACCTGGAAGTTAACTGGGTTAGAAGACAAGTCAAAAACAAGGTGACCTAGATGTTTTCAACTCTGGAGACCGGGACATAAGATGACCTGGAAGTATTCAAGCCTTACATCTAAGATGCTCTTCAAAGCTTCTAACCTAGCCTTTCAACCAGGACATGAGATGACCTGGACATTTGTTGCAGCTCAACCTAGCATCAACCTAGCAGTAAGCCAATCCAGAAGAATAGTCAAGCATGAGGTGCCCTGGACGTTTCAAGGTGTTGCTAAACCTGGACACCTTCAAAACCAATCTGACCAAGACACGAGATGACCTAGACGTTCTTAAAATGTTTCTTAGGGGCATGAAATGACCTGGACGTTTTCAAGACTTGCACTTGACCAGGACATGAGATGACCTTGACGTTTTCAAGATTTGCACTTGACCAGGACATGAGATGACCCGGACGTTTTCAAGACTTGCACTTGATCAGGACATGAGATGACCTGGACGTTTTCAAGATTTGCACTTGACCAGAACATGAAATGACCTAGACGTTTTCAAGACTTGCACAAAGTGCCCCGGACGCTTTAAGGAGTTGATGAGAATAAAAGTTTAAACCAGGACATTTCCAAAATCTACTAGACCCGGACGTCCTTCAAAAGTTTCAACCAAGCCTACTAGACCTGGATGTTTTCAAGACCAGGACATGAGATGACCGAGACATTCTAAAAGGAATTCCTAAGAGAGGGCCAAGCAAGAAAACAACCATGCAAGTCTAGCCAGTCAATTTTAGAGGAGGACCAAGCAAGATAACAACCATGCAAGTCTAACCAGTCAACTTCAAAGGGGGACCAGGAAGGAAAATAACCATGCAAAAAATTTAACCATTCAAGAAGTTCAACCAAGCACAAAGGAATACGACCGGACCATGAAAGCCTCCTTAATTGGTGACCCTTCCATTTGAAGAGGGTCGGCGTTCTTTTTCATAGAACCCTCCCCACTCTTATGTAAACCCTTCCACTCTTGGGACGGGCTGGGAAAAAGAGTGGCCAACCTCTTTGCATCATATAACCGGGTACTTGACCGGGAACTCGTAAAGGGGTGTGCACCGGGCACTTGACCGGGTACTCTAGGAGGACTAGGAGGACTATGAGGACTTACATGGCAGAAGTCTAAAAAGAAAAACAAGTAGACCGGTCAATTACTTAGAGTTTGATTATTACAAAAAGGACAGGTCTGAGAGGAAGACTTGATGATTACAAAAGCGCCAGGTCTGATGATCTCCAAAGTGCCAGGTCTGATGATCTCCAAAGTGCCAGGTCTGATGAATCCCAAAGCGCCAGGTCGGGTGAACTCCAAAGTGACAGGTCTGATGATCTCCAAAGTGCCAGGTCTGATGAACCCCACAGTGCCAGGTCTGATGAACTCCAAAGTGATAGGTGTGATGATCCACAAAGTGTCAGGTCTGAGGAGCCCCAAAGTGCCAGAAGAACAGGTCATGGGAAAGACTTGATGATTTCAAAAGATAGGTCATGAGAAAGACTTGAAGATCTCAAAGGACAGGTCATGGAAATGACTTGATTATTTCAAAAGTAGGACAGGTCATGAGAAGGACTTGATGATTTTAAAGAAAGACAGGTCATGGGAATGGCTTGACGATTTCAAAGAAGGACGTTCTTGAAAAGGAAAGGCCTGATGATTCAAAAGGACAGGTCAATGAGAATGGCTCGACGATTTCAAACAAGGACAGGTCTTGAAAAGGAAAGGCTTGATAATTTAAAGAAGGACAGGTCTTAGAGGGAAAGGCTTGATAATTCAAAGAAGCACAGGTATCGAAAGGGAAAGGTTTGATGATTCAAAAGGACAGGTCAACGAGAATGGCTTGATGATTTCAAAGGACAGGTCAACGAGAATGACTTAATATTTTCACAGGACAGGTCAACGAGAATGACTTGATGATTCACTACGCCAAAAACAGTATCAGATGACTGTTGATTAACTACTGTTAATGGAAACACAGTAGTTGGAAAAAAACATACTACTGTAAGTTTTTCTTGGCAACAGAACAGTAGTCTAGCTATTTTGCTTTAAAACTGTTTTTAAAGTTTTGAGAAATGGTAATCTATCACTAGTTGTCTGTGTCCGTTCAAAATACAGCTTTTGTTACAACAGTTGTTAATAACAAGTTAAGAATACTCTATTTAAATAGTAGTCTGGTGTTTTACTCTAGAACTGTTTTTAAACTTATTAGACACAGTTATCTATCGCTAGTTGTCTGTTTCATATGGTTTTTTTGCCACTATTGTTTCTAATGGGAATAGAAGATTCTTTTGTAATAGTAGTCTATGAAGTAAGGGTAGATCTGTTTTTAAAGTTGTGAGAAACGGTAATCTTTATTAGTAGTTCGTTTCATCTAAAAATACAGTTTTTGTTGTCACAGTTGTCAAAAATTAGTTAAGACTACTATTTCTAAACAGTAGTCTGGTTTTTCAGTTTAGAACTGTTTTTAAACTTATAAGAAATAGTAGTCTATTGTAAGTTGTATGTTTCGTATGGTTTTGTTTTGCATAGTTGTTTATTACTCCCTCCGTCCACAAATAAACTTTACATTCACTATTCACAGGGTCAAACTTTATTCACTTTGTTGGCTTATTTTTGTCACCCATTTGATAAAATAATATAGTCATGTCACCTCTAATTTTGTAGATCTTTTGATATAGTTTTTAATATGTAAATTTTATTTTTCAATTCTACACCATTTTTCATATAAAATGATTTGAAAATAACTTCAGTCAAACATCATAACTCGCAATGTAAAGTTTATTTGTGGAC